TACATGTGTTGTGCAATTGATACATAAAAATTGCACGTATTTGTAGCCAGTCGCAATGCGTATATAATTGGGGGCCCCAAGTACCAGCCTTTATCTACATCACTACTATGCTGCATTCAGCCAGTCGTCTACTGAAAATAACATACATAAAGAAAGTCCTAAACTTGGGTGAATGGGTGGTTAGAGGTATACGCAAAGTGTGATTCTTTGAGACTGAAGGTAAATGTAACCTTACATAACACAAAAAAAAGTATTCCATTACATCACAAATGTACTACTATATTTATTTCTAATTGTCAATTTATTTCAACCAGTATTTCTGCCGCAAGATCAGGATTATATTCTGAAACTTGTATTTCTTCAAAATATTTGTTCTTCATATTTTACTTAGTAGAATGTTAAAGTGGCGTATATTATTGTATAACTAGATGATGATTGGTAACTCAATTGTATTCAGGTTTTATATTCAATTTTGTTGTGCAGTGCAGTACTTTTAAATTACATGCAAAAGGTCATTACATACAGATTGAATAATGCTTTATTACAAAGAAAATTTGACAACTTTTTTGTGGGGATTCACATATGTAGAAGGAAATAATGCTTTTGTCACAAATAAAAAAAAACTTTTAAAAATTGTAATAGATACAAAAATACAAAAAAAAATGTTCATCAAGATCCATAGTTTTGTTTTTGTGTGTATGCAAGTACACATTTTGATTTAAGTCTAAAAACAAATGATAACCAACCCTCTTATTTTAATTGAGACCTTCAAATATATAATAATACAATAATTTTGATAGCAAGGTGCAGTGCTGGACAATAACCTCATAGTATAAACTATACAAGGATTGTGTGTAAACACCATAAATAGTGGAGGCTTGATAAGTGTTTGATAAGTATTTTCCTGACTGATCTTGGTAAAAGCCAGTAATACAGATGTACATGTACTATATTTGCACTGTTACAAACAATAGAAGCACACATATACTAAAAACAGTATTTATTGTATACAAGAGATTGTATGTGTTAGCTTTCTCTGTAACGCGCCTCATTTGTGTTAATTACATGTGCTAATAATAGATAAGACATGCTATTACAGATTGCATTAAAATTCAGCTTTTTCATCATACAACATTATCACAGTGATACCCCAACCATCATGTATTACTATTTTTGCGCTAAAATCTGTAAACTTTTTTCAATCCTTACAGCTTCTCAAGATGACCAAACATTTAGTTACCAACCTATGCAACTTCCATAATGTGCCTGTGCCAGCTGGAGTCAATAAATTAGATGATGCTCTTCCTTCAAGGGTAAGTTGCTGTTTATATGTGAAATTAGTGTAAAAAATATATTTTTGATACAAAACATTGACCTCAGAGGTTAATACAAGTCCCAAACTTTTCGTTTTAGGTGGCTTCACATTTGAAAATAAGACAGGCCTTAGGCTTATCCGAATATTAGGCTTTACTAAATGTTGTGTGTGAAAAGCCTGGTTAGGAGATAGTGAAATATCATTGTCCGCCTGCATAGTGTTTTTCCGTTCGGACATTCCTTCCTCCACAACACCATGTGATAGTCGAGTGCTTTGCCGGAACATCCACCTTAAAAATTCAAGATATTGAAATATTAGTAGAGAGAATGACGGTAGCACCAATGAAAATAAAGTTGAGACTCTGTGCACGGATTTTAAAGCAATTGACAATAATTGCAGTGGCCAAAATAGCGTGAATATAGAAAATGCTGAAAACGTGATTTGACTGTGTAGTGTGTGAAAGCGAACCAAATTTTATTCTTGTTTATTCAACAAACAACAAATTTGGGTTGGCACACTAAATGTAAAACAGGCTTTTGTTGTGTTAGTGGAGTGATTTCTATTGTTCTAAATTTTTGAATGGCTGTATTACTATGGTATTGCGATTGGTTTCTAATATTTCTTATATGTGTGCATTTATCACTGCAAAAAGTACATAACAACTTCATACGCTGATATTCTTAGGAACCCCTGTTCTAGTGCTGAATGATACTCGCTATAAAGTTACAAACCAATTACAGAAGTGTAACAACATTTAGGGAACAATATTTCCATTTGAGATTCCGTTGAAATGACTAATAAAAAAGAAGCACACAGAATTTCAGCTAAATCTGCCTATGCATCATTCTCCATTCAAGGCAGAAACTGATACATTGCAAAAAACTGTTAACAAGCTGTTAGGTGTTAGGGTTGGGTAGCCAATCAGACACTGTCCTGCAAGAGGCTTTGCATAGATTTGCATTCTCACAAAATTTTCAACATTGTCACCTTTTTGTTCGTATATAGGGCAAGCCATGCATAGTTTAACTGTTTTTTTTTTCATGTTGTGGGTCACCGCAATATAAACATGCATGCACACTCCTTACTACTGGGTCATGCCCAGTAAATGATAAGACATTCAATCTATAGATTATTGAAGTCATGAGACAGTAGAGTACACGAAAACTTATTTGATGTTTTTGATGTTGCTTTGAAAAAGAGTTTTATTTACAGAAGAAAACACAAAATTATTTATATCAGTGAAATTCATAACATTTAAACAAACTGCAAACTAGTTATTTTTTTATTATTAATTAGAATTTGTTTTTAAAATTAATTAACTCAAGCATTGATTCATGTGTTACTTATTTCTGTCTTAGAAAAAAATCAAATGTCCCCCTGATACAATGTTTTTGGATACCTTATTTCCCACTAAATATAGGGACAAAATTATGGTCTTTGAGATTAGCTTTGTGAATTTTGTGTGTGTCTAAAATTTCTTAAAAATACTGCATTTTTTAATTTTACATATGTACATTTATCATGTACCGTAAAAACTACAAAATTTCGATCGGTTTTAAATAATTTGTGTTTGAAATGTGATGTGTTTTTAGTCAAAATTAAGGTGCATTTTTGGACGGTCGAATTTTTCAGAATAGAAATCAGCAAATGAAAAAATGGGGATGATAGACAGTGTGCTTCGTTAGTTTATTTTTTAAAAACAACTAATTTTTTGATTTAAAAAAAAATCATGCCGTTTTCGCATCAAAATCCAAGCCAAAAGATCGTACTACAACATCAATCTCTTCCGCATTGCGTTCAATAACATTAACATATTTAAATAAGCTATGGTAATTTGAACACGTTGGCATCATCCAGCTTTTTGATTGGTTAATTAGCGATTTGACCTATTTTATTTTGTGTACATTATTATAAATCACTACTGAGTAATAATCAACAATTCAGAAACGCAGCATGCTGAGATTTTTGTGTTCGTTTTTATTTGAAACTTCGTTTATTTATAATATATTTTCGTTACCAATAAAATAAAAATCTCTCAGTCAATCAGAAACCCGGATTCATGCCTTCGGGGAAAGTCCCGTTTGAACGCTCACATCGTTTTGTTTTTTTCGTTTGTGGGAAAACCAAAACTGTTCGAAATTTCCGAATAAGAATGAGTAGGCAACTTTCAGAGTTTTTCGGTATATACAATGTACATGTATATATCATCATATACAGTTTTGTTTCCCACGGTCTGTGAAATATGGTGAAAAAAAATTTCTGGTATCAAAAAATTTACTGTTTTTAAGTTTTGAAATCTCGGAAAGCAATTAGTTTGTGATAAAATTCACAACTTGGAACTTGCCCATTTGGTAAGTTAGTAAAAACAGTGACAGGCAGTTTATACATCTACCTGTACTTAAAATTTGCCTTTTTTGGGACTGGTAGACACAGTGTTTTCCCCAGAAATTCAAACCACTGTGGTGGTGAAAATTTACATGCTAAATTGCATAACATTTGCATACTAATTGCATAATTACTCCAAAGAGAAATTGTGATGATTAACCTACTCAGTAACACAACATTGTGATTGCTGCATAAGTATTACAACTACACACTAATTTTTATGTTTTCAGTAACTTATCACTTCCATTTAAAAAGTCAGCAATGGCACAGTGGAAATAGCACTGTGGCTGTCAGGATAATGCTTGTAGGAGAGTCAGACCAGTGTCAAAGTACTGGTGGTACTGTTTGCTTCCTGGGAAAGAACACTCAGTAGACCCACCTTAATTTCAAAATCAGAACAGTAATCTAACAGAGTTATCCTTGTTTTTTAGAGTTACAGTGAGGACAATGACATGGAAGATGAGGAGGAAGAAGAGGAAGAAGAAGAGGAGCAACAGGAGGAAGATTGTTTAGACCATTATGAGATGGAAGAAGAACCAAGGTAACTAACCATCTAGTCATTCCACAGTCAGCCTGAAATTAAGGGGCCCCCCTGGAAACTACTTTGATTTATTAATGGTCTATGGTAGTAATTATGTTACGAGAGGTCATACTGGCCAGTAGTGTCATCTCCCAAATAATAGTATGGTGTAATGGCTGATTTGCATAACAATTACATAAATTGTTATGCTAATTAAGCTCATGGGTAGCGGGCTTTTCATGGATTTGTTTTGCTAAGTATCATGTGCATATCTCCAGTGTGATGTAATAAAGGACTATCGAAAATGCATATCACAAAGTTTGACGTCACATGTTGTCAACCTTTTTCTTATACTCTGCCTCAAAGTTGTCCGGGGTTTCTGGGTTTATATAAGTTAACTATGGATAGTGGTAAAAATGGTAATTTTGGCAAGTTCATGTGTGTATTTTTGGAATTATTATTCAGTGCCTACAAAAAATGTTAAAAAAACAAACAATACAGTGTTCTCCACAATCCAAAATAGCTGGTGGTCGGTCTAATTAGCATAAATTTACATATAATTTGCGTATCATTTACATACAACATTCTAGCATTTATGTCATGAACTGCAATACACACTAAGTTATTTACTATTCTTTTTTAATTTAATTTAAACATGTTACAATCAATATATTTGCGAAATGCAAAGTTTGAAATCTGTGATTTATACATTCTTAAATTATTCTACGTTCATGAAATTCAGTTCGAGTAACGAAGAGCAAGTACAAAACATAATTGAGTTATAATGTAGAAAATATACGAGGTTTCCCCGAAGTCAAAACGGACGATTTGTCAAAATAAAACCGATAACATTTTTATTTGTGGCATCAGTACTCACCCGTACTGTCGACGGTCGATACATTTACACATGTACTGTCAGCTACGACACGTTGTGTTTTCACACAGGGTTATTTTGGAATTCAAGAAAAAATGCTAGCAATCGGCAAAATAAAAGAATCTGCTATGTTCTCGAAAGGTTCGACATAAAAAATCGATAAATTGAAAAAAGTATGTGGAAAAGATAACTAAAATATGTATTGAATTACAAATACTCGCGGTAAACGAACCCGACAGCCATGTTTGATGTTTTTTACCGCTTTCCAAATTCAGTACACGAACACCCAGAATGTGCTGTTTCTCTATGCAACTTAGATACTAAATCCTTACAGCGCCAACAACGGTGGGCTGAC